GTAGGGAATTATAAAAAAAAACATTTTATTTAATATTTTTTATGTAAATAGCGTTAACTGCCAATAATGATTTCCAATGTTGAATAGTTTTTGTTTGATTTAAGAAGTATGTAAATGTATGTATTGAAAAAAAAAATATTTTTTTAATTTTGTAGGTGACTTCTCAACAACTATCCTATATTGAGCTGATACTAAAGTCTAAAATCTAAATAATTATTAAAATATTTTTTTTATCTTTCTGTCTATTTATATTCTCTTATCTCCGGAATGGCTGAATCTATTTTAAAGAAGTTTTCATTGGTGCGTAAAAAATTCGGATAACAGTAAAATAGTGCATATTTTTAAACTTATTTTGAGCGTAACACTTTTGCACAGCTGAGAGCCAAAGCTAGTTTGTAGCAAAAAGGTAAAACGAGACTGAAGTAATAAAAATAATAAAACATACCCGTCGCAAAATTCACAGAACATTCCGTGTTCGGTCATCGCATGAGTCGGCGTCTGATGTAATCGTTATACGAGAAAACATAATATAAGGAGCTTCGCAGACTTTCATTTCCTTTATTGAATGCAATCGATATCAAAACCAATTTGGAGATGAACTAACGGAAGAAAGCTCTTGGAATAACTATAAGAAAGTCATCGCACTTCCATGCAAAGGCTAGGACATAAATATTACAAACTTAATGTTTCGATCAACAGTTACAAGTAATTTAGTTTATTGCTACAGTAAAATGGATAATAAATTGTTTAGGATTTAAACTTCATTATGCACAATACAAAAATTTAAAATTGGATGAAAATATAAACTATTACAATATTAAAACAATTAGGGTATGCTACAAGGTTACGTACTATTTATTCCCTGTATAATAAACGCGATTTTGACACATATCGCATTCGCAACGACAGCAACAAATAAACAAGTTGCCAAAATAATTTTAAAATTAACCGTACGACACGTGACATAACAGCGTAAATCATTCAAACGTGAAGAAGTGTCACGCGATCCAACTATTCGTGTTCGTGGGATACGACGCGATTGCATCGGCTGGGACGTTTTTAGAATACTCACTTCATAATTTCATAATGCACCACTCAATTATGGTTCAATTGACCTACAAAAATACTACCATTAAACCATCATTTTTGAAATGAAACTTCTTTAGAATCGTTGTAATTTGAAACTCGATGAAACGGAAATGCGACACTAAAAAGAGACAACTTTGTGGAAGAGCTGTAATTTTTAATCGCTGCAGGAACTATCCAATTTTTACTTTTATGTTAAAATTATTCTTTTACTTCAAAATTAAAATCAAAAAGTTAAAAGTATTAACAATATCACAATATTCTGATTATTTGGAATGATTTGTTTTCAATAAAACCTGTTGCCTAACAATAACTTTTTAAATGTAAAATATACCATCTGAATTGGCGTATTGTGCAGCGAAATTCGGGTCAGGAATCAGGGAACCGTCTATTATCCGGAATACGGGTCTTATAATATAGTTCTCACTATATCACTTATAATATGGCATCAACAATCAAACTAATGGACATCTTACTACAAGCTTCCCGAAACAAGTTCTTAGTAAGATACCTTTCGTAATATGTCTATTTTGTACTGCATAAGTATAATAATATTATTAAAACCGATTTAAGGGGTAATTTATGGTAGGTCTCCAATTCCATACTTCGATTTGTACTCTTTTTTAATTATTCTACGTACACTAAATTAATATTAAGTTATTTTGTCACATTGTGTGTAAGTAACCTTAAGTCAAAGCCAAAAACTGAACCTCGGAAACCGGATTTGTTGGCTATTAAGTTGGAATGTCGTGAATATTAGCAATTCATCAAACACGCCTCAACGCGCGCAGGTCAAGAATACTATTCTTATACTCTTAATGTACTCAAATACTAGGGGAGATCCTGGACGGTGGGTCACCTGTGCTTATTGAGCAGGAAGAACTGCGACAAACCAATCACTGTCCTTGTTCGTTTAATGCGAATTTTAATCATTAATGCTCAATCGTATTATACGAACATATAAATAAATATTTTTTTTAACAATACGAAAAAACTTACAAAAATATTCCATACCATGAATAATTAAATGAATCAAATTGTTTGGAAGCAAACTTTTGACATCGGAAATGTGAATTCGGGGAAATTAAATTACTATAATTTCAATATTACGTTTCATAAATAAAAACATGTTGTTGACAAAATAGAATTGAATAAAAAACAACTTAGTTGGTTGGATATACAGCGTGTTCCACGAGCTACTGCACTAAAACTTTAAATAATAACCATCGATCCAAAAAGTCCTAGATACACATACAGCCATAAAAATGTCGTCACCGAATGAGCGATCATTTGTACAATTGAGCGGGTTTTTAATTATTTTTTTGTGAAAACAACTTTAAGGTTTGCATTTAAGGTTCAATTTACATTTTTGAATATTTATTTCAACTAATTACTTAAACATAATTGGTGACAGTTTTAAGAGAATTTTTGGATGGGATTGTGGATCTAGTACTTTTGCGATCGATGATAATAGCGAACTACTGGGAACAGTAAAAATAGTAATAATTTCCTTGTTAGCTCCTGGCGCAGGATGCTGCACAATTAAAATGATGAAACGCGTTATTACTGTCATTACGTCTGATTACTTCGTTATCATGTACTCGTACAATAATAAATTAATGTGGTTTAAACATTGCCAAACCGACCAACAACGTAATGCTGAATGAAGTTTTTAATAGTTCAGTTCTGTTTCTAGCATAATATTGTGCCATCTGTAATTTTATGTACGTATTTAAGAAATCAACACTTTTATATAATAAACTAGCGACTCAACCTACTTACGTTTTAACGTTTAGAATAGATTCCTCAGAGATCAGATATTTTCCCGCATACCTTTTTTCGCATACATTATCACCATACCAAATTTCATCAAAATCCCTCCAGTGGTTTTTCCGTGATGCGGTCACAGGCAGACAGACAGACAAAAAATCTAAAAACTATAGATTCGGCCTCTGTATCGGTAGTAATGTCTATTTCAATAAAATTTTCTAAAGAATATTTAATGTACAGATTCGGCTTAGTTACAATTTTACATGGCCTACATGGCGTGATACACTACATACATTATACATATATAAATATTATGTAACACGCTATGTATATACATTTTTAATATTAAAAATAACTCAGTCTTTAAAAATAGCGTTGAAATTCTTATACAAATTTATTTAAAAAAGCCAAGATGTTCTTCAAATAACAGCACAAAATTTGAATGGGACGATTGAAAGTAATAATACAATGTGGGCAAAAAGTACAGGTAAAAAATTTTAAACGTTTAGTAGGTCAGTAGGTCTAGTTTATATATATTTTATATGTAAATTGTTATAGTATGTATATATGGATTACATCACTCATTTGATATTGTAAGGTTCTTCTTTTGAAATCTTGTCGACAAAAATATTAACTCTAACGACGATTGTTGAAATCACAAACACCTTGGTATTGGGAGACCTTGAGTTTTATGTAATTTTTGATATGCTTAATAAATTTAAATATTGATAAACATATGTATTTTAAATAGAATTTTACTTTTGTTAGATTCGACTGAGTTAGAATGTTTTAAATACTTCAATAGTAGTTATACGATTAAGTATGACTATAAGTAATACTTTGACAACGCGTTTGGCTCAGTTTGTAGTGACCTTATTTGTTGTGCAGCGGTCGTGGATTTGAGTCCCGCTGGGAGCATTCATTTTTGTGATGAGCACGAATGTTTGTACTCCAGTCATGGGTGTCTATATTTATAATATGTAAAGTTATATATGTGTAGTGTATCAACTATCTGGCATCCATAACACAAGCTTACCATGGAACTAGATGGTGCTGTGTATAACATACTATCCTATGTTATAATTCGTTTTATCCTAGTACAAGCAGTTGAGAATGTACTTATAATACGAAAATCGATAGAAATCCTATAATCAAAAGTAGACTAATACCAAGTATTGGATTACTGACTAACTCCTAAAAGAACATAATATTATACAATGAATATATGTTGATAATAAGTATGTGCTGATATAAGGAATTATATACCTACGTATCAAATAGCATAGCCAAATAAAAAATAGCATTTTTTTCGCATGTGTACCGAATATATTACAGTGATACATCACTGACACGGGGTTATTTGCTAATTTTTAATATTCCCTCGCATTAGCAAGGCGGCTCGTGCCTTTGTCGCGAACAGCTAAGTAGGCCCCGAACAAAGCGTCCCGTCTCACTCCTGACACATCTGGGTCACTGCTTCTGCTTGCTGAGATATTCCGACTTATGGTAAAACCTATATGGTTGTTTACATCGGCATTAGAACGCTAAGTAAAGATATTTAATATCAATAACATTGAAAAGAAATGGGTTTTAAAATTAACATATCAAAAAAAATATCTATAACAATACTTATTAGAAGTATAGTATCTTTGATACTGTGTTTAGAATAGTATGCTTTTTAGGTTTCGATTACTATACATTTAAAAAAACCTTTTAATTTAGTTTAGTAATAAAAATAGATAGGTAAATTAATATGGAATAAAACGAAGTGCACTATAACACACAAAGTATAAAATATATCAAATGCTTTTCAATCCAATCCGAGTGAATACGTGAGCTCTCTTATTTAATGAGATATTTCGCCAAATTAAAAAAAACCGCAGTTTAAATAAAACCTTAAATTTTCACGCGAATTTAACGGCAAAAAAATTGTGTGAAACTCCAGTGGTACTTAATTTGCTCGGCTCGCGCTAGTTAAACGCTGAAACTGACGCTTTAAATAAAAATTAAATCACACTGTTTTGTATTTACCGCGCGTCCTATTTATATACAAACATCTTATGTTATGCACGCTATCTTAAATGATGTTTGATAAGAAGTGTGCTCGCGATTACTTTGATAATGATGAAACAAAAACAACTTACCTGGATAAAAGTCGTGGGATTTGGACATCTTGACCCTCGCTCCGGTTTCCTTCTGTAGTTGCGCGATGGTCTCCCCACCTTTGCCGATGATGGCGCCGGCTACCATTGACGGCACCAACACTTTGAAGTGATACGTCGGCTCCACGGCTGCAAAGCATTCATTATTTACACTGTGCAAATTATGAAGAAATATTGCGTCTTGAAACCTGAGCGACTAGAATATTTACTTTAAACATGTGAGAATTGCAATCATTGCAAATTTACTTTATAATTTTATTCAATTGTTTGTTTCAAGACACAAAATTTCATTTGAAAGTTGAGAAAGTTTTTATGAGATAGAGATGTCTGATCAAGGTTCTTTACCCCGAATGCTGTTACAGTGGAATTGAGCAAAAGCGAATTATACAACAGAACGATTCGTACTTGATCTCTGGTTTGTAAGACTTTTGATTTCTGTGTACAGTGCATATGTATGTATGTATGTATTATAAACCACGCCTGTGCTGATGTCAGTCAGTGCAATCATGGGTATGACGATAGAGCTCAGTAGTTAGTTAATGCTAAACGTTTGATATTTTTCTTTTAACAATAATGCAGATACAGGGAGTTGTCGATTAACTGTTCACTAAATCATGAAAAGAAACAAGATTAATATAGATATTTTGTAAGTATAACATTTAATTCCATAAATATGTCTAAACATAAAAACAAGATCTAAAATAAAACAATCAATTAGGCGATGAACAAACGAACAGTGAATTATACAGTTAAGTTGTTTCGTGATTATAATATTGAAGGCTACGTTACGGCGAAGTCATTTACATAAATTATCATCATGCATAATTATGTTTAGAAGTACTAAATATGTTTAGAAGTAATTATGTTACTATAGTTACGTAGTACGCCAATACACAATACACAGATGATCGATGCGAGATTGTGCTCTGAGACACATATCTAGCGAAATTACTTACTAAGATAATATATGAACAGTTTAACCAAAACACAGCATTTAATATTGCATTTTGTAGCGAAGAAGAGGCAAAGCACACTGCAGACAACGACAAGTGTTTGAAATGCCAAAATGTTCGACTCTACATGTGAATGTACTTACTTGTACTATTCTAGCAATCGTTATAATAACAATCTTAATTAATTGCCATCAACTATTCTTGCCTTTGTAATTGTTACGCTAACATTATACAATATTTTATATGAAAACATAAAAAAAACGACTGAAATGTATAAAAAGCAGAAAAAATAATAATACTAGACTAATGACCCAAGGTTTAGTTTTGTTCGCAAATCACACATCACATGAACATAGCTTATATGACTAATATTTTACACTAGCGTTTCCCCCTCGCTACGCTCGTGTTCGCCTCAAGACATACAAAAACAAATATATCTAACGAAAACCGTATTTTTTTCCGGGATAAAAAGCGCTAGTATATGTGTTATTCCAGACTACAATATACCTCTGCGCCAAATTTCATTCAGATTTATTCAGCCGTTCTGGCATGATTAAGTATCAAACATCCATCCAAACATCTAAACTTTTATATGTATACTAGTATTGCCCGCGGCTCCGCCCGCGTTCACATGACCAAAAACCAAATTCTTAGGTTAAAACCTAAGAATAATAAAATAAAATAATATAATATAATATAATAAGAATATGTAAACATATTGGTATATACTCTTACATAGCAGTTTTTTTTATTTTTTCTCAAAAATGAGATATTTTCCCGCAGTAAAAAGTATCCTATATGTTGACCCGGATAACCAACTATCATCATACCAAATTTCATCAAAATCTGTCAAGTGGTTTCTCGTGATGCGGTAACAGACAGGCAGACAAAAAATCTAAATACTATAGATTCGGATTCTGCATCGATAATAATGTTTATTAAAATAAGATTTTCAAAAAAATATTCAACGTATAGATTCGACTTAGAATTTTATTATATGTACTAGCGGACCCGACAGACGTTGTCCTGTCTACACGTCTTTAATTTGAAAATTTCAAACTTTTTTTAATAATTTTTGTATTTTTCTCAGAAATGAGATATTTTCCCGCGGTAAAATGTATCCTATATGTTGACCCCGGATAACCAGCTATCATCATACCAAATTTCTTCAAAATCGGTCCAGTCGTTTGAGAGAGAAGTTCAGTGACATACACTCTCACAGAAGAATTATATATATAAAGATAGATAATATTATTAAGAAGTAAGATTAAATTAGTTCATCATATTAACGTATAATTTCAATGAACATCTAACAGAATTAAATTTATTACATATTTACAATGAGCTCCTTTGAGTGGTCTCTATTTGAATCAGTCTGTTTAAATTTTCATCAAACGTAAAACGTAGATTCATTTAAATATTATATCTTCAAATAAAAAGTGCACAAATCTATTTGATTAAAAATAAAATTAGTCAAGTGCGAGTCGGACTTCATCATCTTGGTTTTTATTATTTGTTGTTATAGCGGCAATAGAAATACACACTCTGAAAATTTCAACGCTCTAGCTATTACGGTTCATGAGACATAGGCCTCTGACAGACAGATGGACGGACAGCGGAGGTTCCGATAGCACCCTTCGGGTAACGGAACCATAAAAGAGTTTTTATTTCCTTTGCGGTGAAAAATGTAATGTACTTTATCTTAGATGTTCTTTATAGTAAGAGGTAAAACAGCTCATATTAGTTTATTCCATGTATAAACAAAACTAGTGGGCTTCATTAGGAAATAACAGACAATGTTTATTTTTAGTCCATATTTACTATTCGGATTCTGAACTGTTGTGATAGTGGAGCATATCTGAATATAAACAAATTGTGATTTCGATATTCCGCTATTTACGTAACGCCAATATGAATGCGAGGAGAAAGATAAATATCCATTGTTTGAGCTGAAAATTAATGTCGGCTAGCTTTTTGAGATTGCTGTTAGCTTTTAAGGGGTTTTTCCGATTTTCCGTAAAATATATTTGAAACAATACTGCCTATTCGAAACTAGAAATACTATTGTCAATTTATCTGTAACTGGAAATTCTGATGGTCGACAGTAGCTATCAAAGGCCTACATGCTGCAGGCTGGTCCTAACAGTCCACAATCAATTACTTCAGAGCAAAGTCGAATAGATATTGTTGACCTAATAAGAGTAAATATGGGCCAGTGGGGAGACAAGGACACAAAGGCATACATGCACGGTACAATTAACTCGCATCCCACGGCCGCATCTCATTTGGCCTCATTTCAAACGGAGCGTATCCTACACCTGCCATTCGAGACAACACTTGACAGAGCTTCCGATGTTCGATCACTATTATATAAAATATTACATTTTCTGCTAAACTTAAACTTTTAGATGCATTTTTTGCCAAATAAAAGTAGATTTTCGTTCTTTCGGTCATACTGCATTGCTTACGTCAGGTTTCTATTGGAACGCTTTCGTTCTATTTTAGATGAATTCAGACTTTTAGGTCAATAATGGCAAAGTAGGTACTAGAGTAGAGTTTTAGTCGTCTTTTTAAAGAAAAAATCTGGTGTTAATATTGTAACTCGACGTAATAAATTGATCTTAAAATAAGCACCAAAAATACTATCTTAGATAAGTCATCCTTTAAAAGCACAAACAATATTGAAATATGGATGCCTTCCATAATTGCAACGAATGGTTTTCCTAAAGCAAAATTAATGGATATAGCAAAATGATCAATTTAGTTTAATGCACCAAACGGGGTAAATTTCCAATGATACAGAAATTCGTAGTAATAGCAAATGTTTACTCTCAGTCGGTCGCGATCTTTGATAGCATAATATATTTGCCGTTGGGCAATTTGCTAGTATTACCGTGCATCGAATTGTGCACAGGACGTGTATCTTTAGTTCTACATGGGTCATTAAATAGTCGATACAAAGGTCGGATGTTTATATGTTTTAAAGGCGACGTGGGTGTACGCAAAGTTTACTTTTTATTATGTACTAGCATTGCCCGCGGGTCTGCCCGCGTTCAGATTACAAAAAACCAAATTCTTAGGTTTAACATATTAGTATACTCTTACAATGCAGTTTTTGTATTTTTTCTCAGAAATGAGATATTTTCCCGAGGTAAAAAGTATCCTATACTTTGACCCGGATAACTCCCTTCAGTGGTTTTTCCGTGATGCGGTAACAGACAGACAGACAGACGGACGGACGGACGGACGGACAGACAGACAGACAGACAAACAAAAATTCTAAAAACTATAGATTCAGCCTCTGTGTCGATAATAATGTCTATTTCAATAAGATTTTCCAAAAAATATTTAATGTACAGATTCGGCTTAATTACAATTTTATTATATATATTATGTGTATTATGTATTACTACTTACTAGCAACCCTTCGTTCAAGCCTGACACGTTCATCATTTACTGTTGTGCAATATGTATACTAACTACAATGCAAAAGAGATTTTCATAATAATACGCCAACATTCAACAGTAAAGTCTAGAAAAATGACGCACAATAATATATCAATTGCACTACCCACTGCGTCGCAGACCGATGTCAATGATAAAATGAATAAACCAAAGTCCGCGTTTTGTTTTCATTAAAACATGTAAAATTATTTAGAAGCTAAGCGCTGATTCCCCCAAACCTCTCTGTAAGAGAAAGAACGTGAAGTATATGATCAGATTGCGTAATTCGAAATCACAAGTGCAATTTTTGGCAACCTGACACTACATTGTTCGATTTTTGACATAAAATATTCTTTTATATCTTTATAGTCGGTAATAAAATCCGATATTCTAAATGATCTATATTTGTGCAATACACACTATAACACGACAGATGGACGACACGTATGGCTCAGTTTGTAGTGACCCTACTTGCTGTGCCAGCGGTCACGGGTTCGACTCCCACTGGGGGCATTCGTTTGTGTCATGAGCACGAATGTTTATACTTCAGTCATGGGTGTTTATATTTGTAATATTTATGTCTTTAAATTTATATGTGTAGTGTATCAACTATCTGGTATCCATAACATATTTTTATTTATTTATTACTTGGAAAATTAATCGTGTAAATAAAACCTACATAAAAGTCGAATAGATCCAAATAATTATGACAGAAATATTCCTAGTATTTAT